GCATTTACTCTGTCGCTTTTATCGGCTGTGTTTGCACTGGCACTGTTAATCCTGCTTTTATTCCATACGTATTTAATATTTAAAAATAAGTCTACTCTAGAATATTTTCGGCCACCGAATTTTCGTGGTAACAGTCATCGTATTTACGGTTTTAATCTTGGGTGGAAGAATAATTTTCTTCAAATATTTGGTAGTAACGTCAAACATTGGCTGTTGCCTGTATTTTCTAGGTAAGATTAAAAAATATTTAATCTGTACTATTCCACTTGATGTTTCCCATTTATAAGTTTAGATGAATCTAAGACAACGATTGTAATAATGTAATATGAATTCATTTATGCTGTGGATGCACTACAGCTGCTTACAACTTGAAAATAGTAGTAATAATCATATGTGAAATTTACATTTGAAATAATATCAACGATTGAAATTTAAATGATTCCAACGTTTCGTCCAGCTAACTTGTCTGGACCTCTTCAGGGTAATAATCAAAATTAAAATCATCAAAGAATCGTTTTAACAATCAAATCTATACTGTGTTAATGCAATCACATTTGGATGTTGATTTTAGTAAACAGGATAACATGAGTTAGTTAAATGCGAATCATGTGAAAAGTTCACGATGTGAAAATAAACGTTAATGCGTAATCTTACACATACATACATACATACACGGTACAACTATCAACTAACGATATTTGTATGCATCTGTCTACCAGTCATCAAGTGCTCACCAAGCAAACAATCGATTCGACCCTGTATAACTCAATTAGTTAATCATCACCTCTGGAGTTAACTAAATTATGAACATTAAGATGAAATAGCTGCCCAATACTCAGTCAGCCAACTACAACGTAGGACCAGGCACATATATGCATCGGTCCAAGTTGCCATACCCCATTAGTACAACAAGATGAACACCACATTCATAGAAGTAGTTAATTCAGTGGTGGTAATATATAAAAGAAAGATTGCACATAAAAACATAGTACAGCAAGAAAGAATTAGTTCGTAGAAAGAAAGACATGAAGCGATTTTTATCTCATTGTTTAAGGGAAGATAGAGAGTGTATAAACACCTACGCCATTGTGATCGGTTCTGAGCCATGTCACCCAGGGTCTAACCACTGGTTATGATAGTCACGCGGACCCCAACCAAGTAGTCTCCATCTACCAACATGGCTAGAAGACTGATGCCACGTCTTGGTCTGGCCACCCCTAACTTTCTTCCAACCGTCTCCAACACTAGTCAGCATTGCGCGTCGTAGTAATCGGTAATCATGCATACGTAACACGGTCTATGTCAGTCGATGAAGATTCACAACCTCAGCAACTAATTTACCATCATTCCCGAATAACCTACGTCTAACCTCACTATTACTTACCCAGTGATCCCAGCAGATGCGTGCACCATTTCTGAGGCATCTGTTTTCAAATACTACAAGCTTACAAATATCTTCTACTCTTAGGGGCCACGCTTCGCAGACGTCAAATAAAACAAAGCGAACCGCTGCGCAGTATATTTGTCCTTTTATTGATAGACGGATATCTCGCCTTCGCCATAGGTGACGTAAGTTGGCAAAAGCCAAAAGAGCTTTTCGAATCTGTACAGAGATTTCGTCAGACTTCCAAGATAAGTAAGGTTGTCAACGCGTTCGACTACTTCACTCTCTATCCTTAGTTCAGGTGTTGACGCAGGCCTGAAGCAACAACTTGCATTTAGAGGGGGAGAAATGCATCCCAAACATTCTGGCATTGTTGCTCAGCGCTACCAAAAGGATTCATTTTATCAGCGTCTTCACCAAACAGGACTATGTCATCTGTGTATTCTAAGTCGATAAGTGGACCTCCTGGTAGGAGGTCAATGCCCGAAAATTCAGTCGACGAGAGCCTTATTTCCATCAGTATGTCTATGATGAAGTTAAACAAAAATGGAAAAAGTGGACAGCCTTGACGGACACTACTTGAAGTTGCAAAAGCAGATGACAGTTCGCCATAAGCTCTGACTCGACTAGTAGTGTTCGAGTAAAGAGCTTTCACAAGGTTTATGTACTTCTGAGGTAAATCTTTCAATAACAAACACTGTCACAGAACTCTCGGTCAACAGAGTCAAATGCTGCTTTTAAGTCAAGAAAGATCATTGTCGGACGCCGATAAGTATGCCTGTGTTCTAGAACCTGACGGATGGTGAATATGTGGTCGATGCAGCCACGACCAGGTCTGAAGCCGGCTTGACTCTCGTGTTTGCAGTTCACGAGTCTTAGTTAGGCGTCTGATAATTATCGAGGCCAGTATTTTAGATACTATGTTAGTTAAACTAATCCCTCTATGGTTATCTCAGGATGATTTTAACCCTCTCTTATATATTGGGACAATCAGTGATTTTGACTAGTCAAATGGGATTGCGTCCAACTCTCAGATTTCAGCTAGACTATTAGTCAACCTAATCGCTAAAATTGGACCACCATCTTCAAAGACCTCTGGAGCCAATCCATCTGGACCAGCTGCTCTTCCTCGTTTCAGATTAGCTATAGCCTTTTGAACTTCAGCTAGAGTAGGGGGACCTACTTCAATGTTCCATTTACGCTGTCTGGGAATGGTGGATAGTTGTAGAGTAGCTGAAGGCCAGCTGAAATGTTCAGCCCATCGTTCTAAACGTCTGGACTGGGAACAGATAAGAGTGTCGTCTTTTTCCGAGATTGTCTCACACTTGACTTCTTAATTCCAGTTTCTTTTATTAGTCTGTAGAGCTGTCTTGTGTTACCTACAGCTACCGCATTTTCCATTACTGCTCACGGTTGTTCCTTAGACTTTTGCTTAACGTAGATCTGATTTGTTTTCTCTCTTCCATCGTGTTCAGAGCCTGATGGGATCAGTTTACGAAAATCCATCAGTGCAATCTAAATCCATTGGTTTTTTGTAACCCTTTGGTTTAAAGCACTAGCAAATATCACGGCTTTTTCCACAGATATTTGTATATCTTTCCAAGCGAAATCTGGGCCAGCCTCGTTTTCAGAACTACCTAAGTATGACCTCAGTTTTCCCTGGAACCTACTTTTGGTTTTCTCGTTACTCAATTTTTGCGTCCAGTGAGGCTCAAGCAGATGCGTGCCCGTATTAGGACATGGTTGGAGTTCAAGCAGGTACTCCAGAATGAGCGACAATCTCCTACCGACCCTCTCTAAGGATTACTGATGGCAATATGGTCTATTCGAGTCCATCGTTGGTTTGGTGTAGAGGTCGCCACGTTAGACGATGTCTCTCTCTGTGCTTAAAATTTGTGTTTGCTAAGAATAAACGATTGTCTGAGCACAGTTGCAGCAGACGATCACCATTATCTGTTCGTTGTGCCGGAATACTAAAATACCCACCTAAATGCCTTTCTGTTTGGTTTAAACTACCTATCTGGGCATTAAAGTCACCCGCTACGAGTACCATGTCTGAACGTTTAACCTTCTGAAGAAGTTCAGATAGCTTTCTGTAAAATTCATCTTTCACTTCATCTGAGCTGCAGTCGATGGGAGCGTAGGCAGAAACGACAAAAAGGCAACGACGTGTGTCCCTGTCCTTCCGAGATCTTACGGAGCCGTTTAGCCGAACAGCACATAAACGAATGTTAATAGGGATCCACTCTAACAGTGCTTGTTCCTCCCTCATGCTTAGTGCTATACCTGCTCCCGCCAGTCCACGAGAGCTGGCCGTCGGGTCACCAGATACATGGCGGGTGTATCTCGTCAGCCCTCCGTTTTGCCGAAGTGAGGTCAAGTGAATGACCACACTGGTATCCTGTATGCGTGTTCAGAGACGCAGCATACATCAATGGTACGAGATTCTAGGGTTCTAGCCAAGGAAGCTTGTTGACCGATTTGACATAGGGTGCGTACGTTGAAGGCTCCAATGTGTAGTTTGGAGCGAGGTTTCAATAGACCTGGGACAGTGTTTTGGGCACTAGAATCGTTGGCTATAGCGACACTTCAGGAGGAAGCTAAAAGAGGAAGTTGAAAGTCGATGTAGGGGGAATAATAGGAATTGAAGAGGGGAGGTTGATTATGAATACAGTGGTCTTGAGTGCTGTTTGAGATATGAGGGCGGTTACCACTTCCTAGTTGCCCACACCGTGGAAGGGTTCTTCTAGAGGTGCCTGAAAAGGAAATTGGATTAGAGGTGGTCTTAGTGACCTGAGAGCGTGACCGTAGTGCTCGAGGGACAACTACTTGAGGTCGGTCACATACGACCTTTTTATGGGTAATTTTTGTGTTAGCTCCGTACTTGTTGAGACCTTACCGCCGGAGACGGATATCCGTGGGATAAGGCGAGGCGTGCATCTTTAGGGTCGACCTTTTCTAGCCCCACCCCTCCTTGTGGGAAGGCAGCATCGCTGTCATGCTGGTTGTCTGAAGGAAACTCTACTGCTGTCACACCTCTGTACAGTCAGCAGTACGACTTCGGACCTTGGGTTTGTTGCTTTCAGTCCTACCGCTCTTTAACCGACGTGTCTAGCATAGTGGGATCTTGAGGAACGATTGTTCAAGCCAGTATAGCTTGACTAGTTCATCACGATAGGTAAGCCCGAGCACCACCTCAAGGCAGCAACAACTTTTCTACACGACCATCAGTGATACTACTCGATTACAGAAGTATATGTGAGTAATGTTTGAAACCACATCCTACAGATCGAAAGTTGGGTACTCGAACTTTTAAGTCCATTACTGTACATCCTACAGTAGATGTAACACAATGATAACAATTACTATTAAATCAACTAAATACTTATTAATCATTTTAACGATTTTTTTTTCGGTTTTAGTCAAGGAGATGGTGTCTCTTTCCGAATCCGAGAAATTCCAGCTCATGAAGACTACTCCCTGTTGTTGTCGACTATTTAGTATTGACGAGTGAGACCAATGTTTGTCACTTACATATGTTCATACAATTCTAGCTGAATTCGTGATAATTATTTTAAAACAAACTTTCGTTTATTTGTCATGTCAACCAGTTTTTCAAATAAATTCAATAGCTTATCTATACCCTGTTTTCCATTCGTAAATTTATTTCTCGGAACCCGTGAGTCTTTATCTTTAGGGAAAGTATGTTTAATTTTTTTCCCTTATATCTCGTCATTATTATATTTTCACGAACATGTGGCACAAAAGCCTATTACAATACGTCATAACTACTAACGTCTATACATAAACTAATTTTGAATATCTTGTCACTGCGAATAAAATGTAAATGGCGTCATACAGCACCCTTCCCCCTCCTGATTGGCAGCGACACCAAATGTAGTAAACGAAAACACAAGTGGAGACTATTGAATGTATTTGAACGCAAAATTACAGAACGTCGTAGTAAAATCTGAGAACCATACAGTAGATACTTCAATTGCAAAATGTCAATCAGTTGTCTCAGACTTTATTGTTCCTTCGTTTCTATACCAATCATTTTTGTTCTCGCTGTCTTCGATCTTAACTTTCTGCCGCCCGGCATTTCACTTTTGAATGGTGATACATACAACTTATATCTGTCGATATCAGTAGCATGCCACACTACTACCTAATATTATTGAGCACTGCACTCAACTGGTTCCCGAATCGAAGGTACCTGGAGAACACGCAAATATATCCCAAAGCAGACAGCAAATTGAATTAATGCACTGAGGAAATGTCAGTGTGTAGATAAATTTTACACCGGAAAATACAAGTTTTTTTTCGGCACCTCCACTAGTGACGACTGATCTGAAATGGACTACTCAGCCAGCATTAACATGGTTTTTTTTAACTTGCCTTCATCAGGTCGGTTTTTCTAATTGAAATATAGTAAGACGTAACTTGAATTACAGTTGGTTTTTAATGGACTTTTTCTATCGATTTGGTAAGTGTTTCCCACCTAGTCTTGTAATATATATTAGGAATTTAATATGTTACATTGAGACGTTTACATTCTGTAAGTGGTCTTTTTAACGCTGAATGCATTAAGATCAACCATCTAACCTCTTTATTTATTGAGCTATGGAAATTAGTAAGTCGAATTTTCGTTCATTATTTTTAGGCAATTAGCACGGAATCCATGAGTACTGTAGGTGAAGATCCATCAGAAATCCAATTACCGGAAATTGTTGATGAATTGGATTATCAATACAGAACTGCAAACTGGCTTATTAAAACCAGAGAGCCATTTTGCCTTGGAGATGATGTGAGAGGACAACTTATGTCTCTCTTACGCAAACAAAGTGAATTTTCACGGACGTTGTTTAAAGATAAAGGTGTTTTTAAAGTTCCGTTTAATGAATCTATGCTATTTAAAGAAGACGGATACGGAGAGTATGCTTTGGATTGGTTTCCTCCAAGTGATCAATCAATAATCCCAACCAATATTGTTGTCTATGTTCATGGAGGGTATTGGCAGTTGGTTGGTTGGGAAGAATCCAGTAGTTGGGCAGTTCCTGTTACAAATGCTGACAGTATATTCGTCTCTTTGTCTTACAGGTTAGCTCCAAAAGAAAAGTTAGAGGCGATGCCACAAAGCCTATGTCTCGGAATGCAGAAAGTTATAACTCTTACGCATAAAATGTTTGGTAACTTGGATTATACGAAGCTCCGCATAACCCTAGTTGGACATTCTGCCGGTGCACACTTAGTTCTGGAAATGTTATATTGGGCTCATATGGAACTCAAATCAAATAATAATTGGCTATGCTGTTTGCAAAACCTTGTTTTAATGTCAGGAGTTTATGACCTACGTCCAATTATCCACACTTACGTAAATAAAGCAATAAAGTTCAAAACGGTTGAGGAGGCTTTGTCTGTCAGTCCAATCCGACACTTCATTCAAGACGGTCCAAATCTACTGCTCAGTAAATCACTTCATTGGATTGTTGCTTGGGCAGAGTACGAATCACCAGCTATGAAGGAACAATCTAAATCCCTAGTGGACTTGTTGAGTAATGCATCAAGAAGTGGACAGGGTTCATATTTGCAATTTACCTATGAAACGTTTTACATGTCAAATGAAGATCATTTTACTTCACTTCTCGGTCTGCATGATGGTCCAACTCACAGTGCCATCCTCAAAAAAATCATAGATCTGATCAAAGTCAAGCCCATTTAGTTGGATCTCACAATATAAAATCATAGAATGAGACATTGATTTTAAAGCAAATATTTTCAATGAAATTATATTTTTATATATGCGACCGTTTTAATTTTCTAAATAAATTATTTGAAAATACAATAATAGCAGTAAGAGTCGCGAATACTTACTAGATGATAAGTTTATATTAATTAACCGAAAGCTATAACAAGCCCAGTAAGAAACTACTGTTACTTCTACACACTGACCACAAGATATATTCAACATCTTTGTACTGGCACCAAGTTTGATATTTAGTTACAAATGTGACGCAACTAATTTTCAAATTTAATGTGATAGAACCTAGTAAACTACTGTGTTATGGTAATAAATTTTCAAAGGCAGTGTGATATTTGATGGTAGCTAGATCAATCAAACTAACCTTTAACAATTTAGTTTGCGCAAATAGACTGTAGCTGTTGATATGTAAATGAACTGTCAGTCACAGTTATCTAGTTTTACCAAAGATTTATTCTAGGCAAAATCGTTTCTTAATCACGAGTCATTAAGTTATTATAAGAAATTTGCCTTATCTTCCAAGTTAATGTTTTTCCTCACAGGGAGGTTGATTATGAATACAGTGGTCTTGAGTGCTGTTTGAGATATGAGGGCGGTTACCACTTCCTAGTTGCCCACACCGTGGAAGGGTTCTTCTAGAGGTGCCTGAAAAGGAAATTGGATTAGAGGTGGTCTTAGTGACCTGAGAGCGTGACCGTAGTGCTCGAGGGACAACTACTTGAGGTCGGTCACATACGACCTTTTTACGGGTAATTTTTGTGTTAGCTCCGTACTTGTTGAGACCTTACCGCCGGAGACGGATATCCGTGGGATAAGGCGAGGCGTGCATCTTTAGGGTCGACCTTTTCTAGCCCCACCCCTCCTTGTGGGAAGGCAGCATCGCTGTCATGCTGGTTGTCTGAAGGAAACTCTACTGCTGTCACACCTCTGTACAGTCAGCAGTACGACTTCGGACCTTGGGTTTGTTGCTTTCAGTCCTACCGCTCTTTAACCGACGTGTCTAGCATAGTGGGATCTTGAGGAACGATTGTTCAAGCCAGTATAGCTTGACTAGTTCATCACGATAGGTAAGCCCGAGCACCACCTCAAGGCAGCAACAACTTTTCTACACGACCATCAGTGATACTACTCGATTACAGAAGTATATGTGAGTAATGTTTGAAACCACATCCTACAGATCGAAAGTTGGGTACTCGAACTTTTAAGTCCATTACTGTACATCCTACAGTAGATGTAACACAATGATAACAATTACTATTAAATCAACTAAATACTTATTAATCATTTTAACGATTTTTTTTTCGGTTTTAGTCAAGGAGATGGTGTCTCTTTCCGAATCCGAGAAATTCCAGCTCATGAAGACTACTCCCTGTTGTTGTCGACTATTTAGTATTGACGAGTGAGACCAATGTTTGTCACTTACATATGTTCATACAATTCTAGCTGAATTCGTGATAATTATTTTAAAACAAACTTTCGTTTATTTGTCATGTCAACCAGTTTTTCAAATAAATTCAATAGCTTATCTATACCCTGTTTTCCATTCGTAAATTTATTTCTCGGAACCCGTGAGTCTTTATCTTTAGGGAAAGTATGTTTAATTTTTTTCCCTTATATCTCGTCATTATTATATTTTCACGAACATGTGGCACAAAAGCCTATTACAATACGTCATAACTACTAACGTCTATACATAAACTAATTTTGAATATCTTGTCACTGCGAATAAAATGTAAATGGCGTCATACAGCACCCTTCCCCCTCCTGATTGGCAGCGACACCAAATGTAGTAAACGAAAACACAAGTGGAGACTATTGAATGTATTTGAACGCAAAATTACAGAACGTCGTAGTAAAATCTGAGAACCATACAGTAGATACTTCAATTGCAAAATGTCAATCAGTTGTCTCAGACTTTATTGTTCCTTCGTTTCTATACCAATCATTTTTGTTCTCGCTGTCTTCGATCTTAACTTTCTGCCGCCCGGCATTTCACTTTTGAATGGTGATACATACAACTTATATCTGTCGATATCAGTAGCATGCCACACTACTACCTAATATTATTGAGCACTGCACTCAACTGGTTCCCGAATCGAAGGTACCTGGAGAACACGCAAATATATCCCAAAGCAGACAGCAAATTGAATTAATGCACTGAGGAAATGTCAGTGTGTAGATAAATTTTACACCGGAAAATACAAGTTTTTTTTCGGCACCTCCACTAGTGACGACTGATCTGAAATGGACTACTCAGCCAGCATTAACATGGTTTTTTTTAACTTGCCTTCATCAGGTCGGTTTTTCTAATTGAAATATAGTAAGACGTAACTTGAATTACAGTTGGTTTTTAATGGACTTTTTCTATCGATTTGGTAAGTGTTTCCCACCTAGTCTTGTAATATATATTAGGAATTTAATATGTTACATTGAGACGTTTACATTCTGTAAGTGGTCTTTTTAACGCTGAATGCATTAAGATCAACCATCTAACCTCTTTATTTATTGAGCTATGGAAATTAGTAAGTCGAATTTTCGTTCATTATTTTTAGGCAATTAGCACGGAATCCATGAGTACTGTAGGTGAAGATCCATCAGAAATCCAATTACCGGAAATTGTTGATGAATTGGATTATCAATACAGAACTGCAAACTGGCTTATTAAAACCAGAGAGCCATTTTGCCTTGGAGATGATGTGAGAGGACAACTTATGTCTCTCTTACGCAAACAAAGTGAATTTTCACGGACGTTGTTTAAAGATAAAGGTGTTTTTAAAGTTCCGTTTAATGAATCTATGCTATTTAAAGAAGACGGATACGGAGAGTATGCTTTGGATTGGTTTCCTCCAAGTGATCAATCAATAATCCCAACCAATATTGTTGTCTATGTTCATGGAGGGTATTGGCAGTTGGTTGGTTGGGAAGAATCCAGTAGTTGGGCAGTTCCTGTTACAAATGCTGACAGTATATTCGTCTCTTTGTCTTACAGGTTAGCTCCAAAAGAAAAGTTAGAGGCGATGCCACAAAGCCTATGTCTCGGAATGCAGAAAGTTATAACTCTTACGCATAAAATGTTTGGTAACTTGGATTATACGAAGCTCCGCATAACCCTAGTTGGACATTCTGCCGGTGCACACTTAGTTCTGGAAATGTTATATTGGGCTCATATGGAACTCAAATCAAATAATAATTGGCTATGCTGTTTGCAAAACCTTGTTTTAATGTCAGGAGTTTATGACCTACGTCCAATTATCCACACTTACGTAAATAAAGCAATAAAGTTCAAAACGGTTGAGGAGGCTTTGTCTGTCAGTCCAATCCGACACTTCATTCAAGACGGTCCAAATCTACTGCTCAGTAAATCACTTCATTGGATTGTTGCTTGGGCAGAGTACGAATCACCAGCTATGAAGGAACAATCTAAATCCCTAGTGGACTTGTTGAGTAATGCATCAAGAAGTGGACAGGGTTCATATTTGCAATTTACCTATGAAACGTTTTACATGTCAAATGAAGATCATTTTACTTCACTTCTCGGTCTGCATGATGGTCCAACTCACAGTGCCATCCTCAAAAAAATCATAGATCTGATCAAAGTCAAGCCCATTTAGTTGGATCTCACAATATAAAATCATAGAATGAGACATTGATTTTAAAGCAAATATTTTCAATGAAATTATATTTTTATATATGCGACCGTTTTAATTTTCTAAATAAATTATTTGAAAATACAATAATAGCAGTAAGAGTCGCGAATACTTACTAGATGATAAGTTTATATTAATTAACCGAAAGCTATAACAAGCCCAGTAAGAAACTACTGTTACTTCTACACACTGACCACAAGATATATTCAACATCTTTGTACTGGCACCAAGTTTGATATTTAGTTACAAATGTGACGCAACTAATTTTCAAATTTAATGTGATAGAACCTAGTAAACTACTGTGTTATGGTAATAAATTTTCAAAGGCAGTGTGATATTTGATGGTAGCTAGATCAATCAAACTAACCTTTAACAATTTAGTTTGCGCAAATAGACTGTAGCTGTTGATATGTAAATGAACTGTCAGTCACAGTTATCTAGTTTTACCAAAGATTTATTCTAGGCAAAATCGTTTCTTAATCACGAGTCATTAAGTTATTATAAGAAATTTGCCTTATCTTCCAAGTTAATGTTTTTCCTCACAGGGAGGTTGATTATGAATACAGTGGTCTTGAGTGCTGTTTGAGATATGAGGGCGGTTACCACTTCCTAGTTGCCCACACCGTGGAAGGGTTCTTCTAGAGGTGCCTGAAAAGGAAATTGGATTAGAGGTGGTCTTAGTGACCTGAGAGCGTGACCGTAGTGCTCGAGGGACAACTACTTGAGGTCGGTCACATACGACCTTTTTATGGGTAATTTTTGTGTTAGCTCCGTACTTGTTGAGACCTTACCGCCGGAGACGGATATCCGTGGGATAAGGCGAGGCGTGCATCTTTAGGGTCGACCTTTTCTAGCCCCACCCCTCCTTGTGGGAAGGCAGCATCGCTGTCATGCTGGTTGTCCGAAGGAAACTCTTTACTGCTGTCACACCTCTGTACAGTCAGCGGTACGACTTCGCCTTCGGACCTTGGGTTTGTTGCTTTTAATCTTACCGCTCTTCAACCGACCTTTCTGACGTGGTAGGACCTTGAAGAACAGTTGTTGCAGTCAGTATAGCTCGGTTGCTTCATCACGATAGGCAAGCCCGACCACCACGTCAAGGTAGCAACAACGGTCGGGAACGCGTCGACAACTTCACTTATCTTGGAAGTCTGATCAGCCCTAATGGGTTGGTATCGGACGAAATCTCAGCACGGATTCGAAAAGCTCGTTTGGCTTTTGCTAACTTACGTCACCTTTGGCGAAGGCGAGATATCCGTCTATCAATAAAAGGACGAGTATACTGCGCGGCAGTCCGTTCTGTCTTACTTTACGGCAGCGAAACATGGCCGTTAAGATTAGAAGACACTCGTAAGCTACTAGTATTTGACCACAGATGCCTTAGAAATATTGTTGGCGTCTGTTGGGATCACCGGTAAGTAATAGTGAGGTAAGACGCAGGGTATTAGGGAATGATGGTAAATCAGTTGATCAGGTTGTGAATCTTCATCGACTGAGATGGTTGGGCCACGTGTTACGTATGCCTGAACACCGATTACCACAACGTGCAATGCTAACCAGTGTTAGGGATGCTTGGAAGAAAGCTAGGGGCGGCCAAACCAAAACGTGGCATCAGTGCTTGAAGTCACTAACTTCTAATCTGATCCATGCAGACTACTTGGTTGGGGTCCGCGTGACTATCGTAACCAATGGTTGGAGACTCTTGTTGACATGGTTCAGAATCGATCACAATGGCGTCGGTGTATACACTCTCTGTCTTTCCTTAAACTAAGAGATTAAAATCGCTTCATATCTCTTTCTACAAACTAATTCTTTCTTCCTGTACTATATCCTTATTGCAATCTTTCTCCTATATATTACCACCTCTGAATTAACCACTCCTATGAATCCGGTGTTCATCTTGCTGTGATAAAGAGGTATGGCAACTTGGACCGATGCATATATGTGACTGGTCCTACGTTGTAGCTGACTGACTGACTTTTCCTCACAGATAATCCACTTTTTTGCGAATCAAGTTAGTCTATATAGATAAAACATGTGGTATATGAGTTAGTAAGATTTTTTTATTCTTAAAATCAGGATCTAGATTAATCCAAAGAATCTTATGAGGACCATGAAAACGCTAGTGTATGAAATTCATCATTGTATATAATCATTTGGATTTTCGGATAACTTTAGGGTCTGTATAGAAGTTTCCGGTCGTTCAGAAAAGAAGTTTCATAAACGAGATAGCAGTTACAACAACAAGAGCAAGATACTTGCGTTTATCTGTGTGCTGATTTAGAAGTGGGGAAGACATATAGAGTAAGTGCATGTTTGGTTGTAAAATGTGAGGCTTTCAAAGGTCAGTCAAATATACAGTACTTGTTTTTCGTAATGGAAATACGGAAAGGAGGAGGTGAAGTCAATTGCGCATATGTGTTGACAAACCTGCAGATCTCAGACTAGCATTTCCATACTTCATACAATAAGGAATTTTGAGCATGAAGTAACTTCTGTGCTACTTCGCCTGTGGTTTTAAGACGATTGATCAAAAGGGGTAGAAACGGCGCCAGAGGACAAAGGTAAAGCATATAACCTAGGGAAAAGCATTGGAAGTATAGATCCAAATTACAAGTATTAATGGTGGGTACGCCGGTTACGGCCCGCATAATCCCATGAAGGGAAACGATATACAACGACTTAATGAACCGAGCCGATTTCTTGAACTGTCAACTTGTAACCGTTTTACAACTTTTTCTTACGTCAGTCAAAGCGATAACTAGGCATCCCTACCTCATGTTTCGATCACTTATTCAACAATTCCGTCACATCTAAGCAATGCTTCTGAGGCACATACGATATATACTACTTGCATATACATGTATTACTTCCAACGACGTAAACTACTGATGGGAATATCATACTACTACATTGGATGAAAAGATTATGTAATACTCCCCAGGGGGCTTCTGTTATTAGATGCAGAAATCCTATTGCACCTAGTACCTCAACAAGCGAAAAATATGAAGGTATAGTTCCTGTTTTACAAAGTGTCCTATTTACAGGTGCATATCCGAAATAACAACAGGACACCAACGAGTAATATATTAAAACGTATTCTGGCACCTTTCAAAAATGCATCCTGCACTATTTTGTAAATTACATTAATTTAGTGAAATACATTATTCAGAAACACATAACCCCTTTATCATTTTAGCCCATTGTCAATGAATATGAAACGTGAAAGCAAATAAAATCTTATCTTGTGTGTAATGAAATACAACTAAATATGCCTCTATGACGCCGATCCAGTTTGTTGAAGGTGTTTTATAACACTAATCCAGTTCCAACCTCTAGGTAACTCTCCACCTTGTCCTAGTCTATCTAGGTGCTTCCTTTTTTGATTTTTAGATAATTGAGGTAGTTTATTTTGTTTGCGATAAACCTATATAAACAATGTATAAAAATGTCAGACAATTTAGACATACCGACGGTGTTTCACTCGGGAACAAATTGTTTTGTGATGTATCTACTTTATCAACTGCAAAAGATTTAGTAAATCGCTCATAGTTTTCCTTTAGGTACTCAATTAAATTAAATGTTAGAGCTGAGCCAAGTTGGTCTTTAGCAACAGACACTAATTCTTCAGTTATTTTCTCTTTAACATTTAAAGGGATATGATGATTATAAAAAGAATCCATAGAGATACAAGGTAAAACGTCAGGATATCCTTCAGGCCAGTAAACTTGTACAATGAATGAAGAAATCGTTCCCGCCTCACCTACCTATATAATAATTATTTTTCAAAAAGGTAAAACTAACCTTGTATTCCAAATTATAATCGTCTGATATCGTCAATTCTTCTTCATCGAAAATTGATCTTAGCACTTGAGCTTCCTCCTAAAGTATTAGACTACCGGCACCAAATCAAACCTCTCTTGGGTCACATATTGCCATTACTCATTAAATAAATCCTATAAGGCAAAACAATTAATTATTAACTAAAATAAAGAACAATGAAGACCATCAGGAGTGTCTTGCTAAGAAGATCAGCCACAAAAACCAGGTCTCATTATTGGTCGTCTGCTTTTGTGAATCAGACTGATTTCAGAGTATTTTTAGCTGATTAGCACTCACGAAAATTGGTGAAGTACAGTTCGCGTCGTACTGTTAACGAATTGCCAGCATAGACTACACTTTATTTGTTGAAATCCAAAAGACTTTTTTAAAGTGGCGAATCTTTCGTTGATGAAACAGCAATAAGGAAGTGAATTACAGGAGAGGGAAAATAATGATTTTGATATTCAGAATGATTATTTGTGGATGATTTGAAACATTTTGATACGATATCGTCTAGTTATACAAAATATCGTTCAAGAATCGGTGAAACATTTTCCAAGTCTCGACTATCGATGATAGTCACGTGAATATGAGGAGACATTTACTGTAACCCGCCCCAGAATAATATATAGTGACAAAGGTAGAAGGGTCATGCAAGCTTTTTTTGTGCAGTGGTCTTACTTGTTATTACGACTCCAAGTGAGTATAGGTGGATGCAAAAGGCGTACACGTAAGCCATGTGATAAGTTTAGTAGGTAACTCGAGCTTTTTTAGAATTCGTCTATTATCTTGCGCTAATTAAATGAGCAAGTATAGTTTTCCTAATCAACCTTAACTCAACTGCAGAAGGTAATGTGCGAAAACTGGATGACAGACTTGTTTAATTGCGGGACCTATGAGACTGCCCCATAACGGTAGTTGAACTGCATTATGATATAGCCTGGTTGTGTTGATCTAACGGTTACTAAACAGAGAATTGGCTTGATATATATATATATATATATATATATATATATATATAACATTATTTTTCGAATTTAGTTTGCAACGGGCAACGTGAAGGCGGTACAGGGAGCGTCAGTAACCATGGTAATTAGTTCTATATATTATTGATTGACAGCTGATCTAGTATGAGTGACATATAGTCGATTATTTATCCCGAATATGATGTAGTTACAGGATACATATACGCGTTTTCCCAATCAAGTAACAAAATTTATTTTATCTGAAATCTTGGCGAGACCATTATTTTTAAACGACCTGTTAGTAACATTAAAACGACTTGGAATATATCTAAGGTTAGGTGAGTTATATTGGGAGAAATTAGAATAAGCATTTACGGTTGGATGTAACAGTTACGAATATGATGACTAGAACACTAACTAGATAAACAGACAAGTGAATCCCGCGCCGAAATTCCATGACGTGTTGCTTTAATCTGTTCAGGTCTTCCAGGAGTTGATTCCCAACGAAATAATAATCAACAGAATGAACCGAGAACATGACTTTTTCATATCAAATAAATTTCGCAAAAAATTTGGGATTATCTATCTGGCGAGACTCTAATTTAGCGGGGACGTTTGAACGAATCTTAGATGACCTCGACAATCATTAGCCAATCAGAAGACAGATAGTATGAAGTGAAAATATATTGTAAGTAATGAACTACAGTGGATATTCTTTTTTACATGATTTAAAACTTGTCAAGGTTTGATAATGGTTCAGAGGTTCTGAATTCATAATGCCATCTATCTCCTTACAAGGTTAACCGAAAACCTTATGCATCCAGTTTAAGCTTTTCGATCGACTCATTCTTGAGTTTTCAATACGCAGGTATACACAATTTTTTATGAGCTCAGACAAGCATTTAGAATATTACAACTACTGCTAGTGGGTCCTAACAGTTGATATGTCATCCTAACCTCGAAACCTTGAGTGTGAATTTCCCGCCTCCAAAAACTGTTCAAACAATTGTTTTGAATAAATTCATGTTTCGCAGCTTGTTACGTCACCTTCGCTTTAAGTTTATATCATTCGAAATGTTCTTATATATAAACGAATACGAGCGCTTTGCGATGAAGGAGATTAGTACAAATGATTCGCATTTCCTAAACATCTGCTGCACAATTATACAACAAGAACAACGTTTTTAGTCCGAAAAATCTATTCCGACCATAACGTTCGGTAGTTTGCATTTCTTTTTCAGTTTTAAATGAGTTAACAGGTAACTGTGGTTTCGCCGTAACTTATTATTCGGTCTTTATTATTTTTCCACGTCAACGGGAGTTAGTATATCTCAAACTTTTGAATCAAATATTTTATCCGTTTTGAGTGTTTTGTGTTTTGTTTTGCAGTCGTAAACGTTTGCTAGGATCAATCTAGAAACTCGCGTTTCACCATGGACATGAAAATCTCATATAAGCGACCTGGATGTTGTTTTACTATCACCTGTGGTATGCAGTGTGACAAATACAAATTTTGCCTTAACCAAGCACTCACAGATGTAACAGTAACTGCCTACAACAAACTTAACGAGTCAGGTGGTATTTGGGTGTGAGGCACATGTAACATGAATGCCTAGGACTTGCTGAGCCTAATCTTTCTTTTGACAAGTGTACGAAAAAAGTCAACAACCCTGATAAAGGCAGTCCTTAAACGGACATACAAACAAACACGCTCAGTATAGTAAGTAAGAGGGTCTTCGACAACATTGGTATCGATGGAACATGCATCGACACTGCTGAGGATATACTACAAATCGACAACGCCATGACATCGACGTTGTTATACTCTCTCAGCAAACTTGAGTTTCCCATCTCGAGCTCCCCAATTGCAACTGTGTTCCCCAAAAATTCTTTGGGCGGCTGGAACTGCAATCACAAAGCTCAAAAGGATCGAGTGTCACCGTCGTAAATGCTGAGCAGCTCAGGTCCTGCAGAAAGATCAACTTATGTGTTTAAAGGCATAGATGTTTACACTAAATAATGCATTAGGCAAAACGGAACGAAAATCCAGTGAAGAAGCAGTATTAGGAAGTAAACTAATTGGTTGGCGTATAAATCAAGATAATGAAGATTTTAAAGTACATCCTAATGTCTATATTAGAGAAAAAATCATTGGGTTTGCCTTTGAGGTTTTGGTTGTGAAGCACGTTTGATAATGTCTTAAGGCACTAAAATGCATAGTCTCTGTGACCATTAATAAGATCATGAGAGAACTAAATAGGCCAATTAAACACAACTCCCCTACGCTGAATAATATAAACCAAAATTGGTTACCGCGATGCAGCCACACCCTTGTCTTTCTTCCAACCTACTTATACCCTATTTATTCTTGAACGTAGCTGTTATCTTGTCGTGGTGACCGGGTTTCCCTAAAATTGTTCCACTGACCGTTACACGATTAATTCAGGGAGAGGGATTACAAGCACTTAAATCACCCAGGACTCTTTGGGGTAGCGTTAACTAACACTAGACATGTAGAGGCTGTTCTACTTGCCCGTTACTTGCTGAAGTTAGATGAGGATGTAAGAACAGTGCCTGGAATTGAGCAACACCTTCAATTCAGCAGAATTAATGGAAGTGAACCTGAACGCTGTTTGGTGTATCAGAAACTGCAGCACCTCATCAAGAACGCTTCTCCTGAACCAGATGTGGTTCATTCCGCTATGTTGAGGGAAGCGATTCCAATCTTAATGAAATTAATTAGCCTGTTTTCATGTATGCTAGACTGAAGCACGGAACCAGAACATTGGACGTTAGCTCATATTACACCAGTTTTTGAAGGAGGTCAACACAGGTAACCTTCAAGAACGGAACGTGGGCACACAATCTACTCTTTAAAAGTGGTTTAATGTAATGTGATTCGCCGCCAGCTGAGCTAGTACAAGCGACTTCTCAGACGTTCTTATGAGAAAACTTGATATATTCCTAAGGACAGAGTACGGTTTCTCGTTATTATTTGCCAAAATTTTTTTCTCTTATTGTTAGATATACTTAGTTTCATACTTTGCGGCATCATTGATTCTCTGCTGTCAGATACAGAAGTCCGTCAAGCGAAAGCTTCCCTTTTTACACCCAGAACTATTTGAAACCATTCGAAAGATGATATTAGTGAACTTCTTATTTGTCAAGTTTGGATTCAGGAAAGACGCAAACTGCTTCAGGAAAATCCTATTAGTCATAATATATTTGATGACAATTGAATAACGGGTTAGTGATCAGACGAGGGAATACATGGACCATGAGAATGTCCTCTGCAAAGCGCAACACGGACTCAGGAATGACGTTCATGAGCGATCAAATCTTCACGTTATACGGGACAGTTGAACAAATTGATAGGACTAACATATACTGGTCCATGTTATATTTCTCGAATTCGCCAAAATGTCCGACCAATTACTACACATCACACTGGTTTTACTGACCAGCTTCTGTCCTTTCTCTTAACTTACCAAGATGACAGTATGTTTGAAAACAAGGTTAATAAAGTGCACGGAAGCAGGAGAGTCTCGACACCTTGGGTTTCACAGAAAACCATCTTGCGCCCATTTTTCTTCCTGATCCTTAGTAATGATTTCTAGACAAAATTTAGTCAGAAGCGCCAAACTCTGTGGACGACTCGAAGATCTGGAGGTCCATATAAAGCAAGATAGACTCCCATAAGCTACATAAGAACATTAAAACAATTGGGAAATTAGAGGTAGGTAGTAAGTTGAAACCTAAGTGTCTTATCAAGAACAGTATGTCTCCGTGAGACATGAATACTTAAGTCTCCGAAGTAAGTTTGGTCCCCATTGTTTTGTCAGGACGTGGCTTCGAGCTAGTAACCACTGAGAACATGAACCGCAGCTCGAACCACATGAAAGATGAAGCCATATCTAAAGTAACTCCTTAACTTTTCAGAAGACGACTTAACCTACATTCGGTGACGGGGACTTAACCCCAAGACTATATCCTGAGAAAACACTGACAGTTCAAAAGAGTGCTCGTTGCTCTAAAGACGTCTTCATTCAAGATAATCAACACAAGCAAATGGACTGAACCAAAGAAAGTTCAAATCGAAATTCATGCACTGCTGAGGCTTCGGCAACCAACCTATTCAAACGCGAACTCTGCATGCAAATATGATACGTCAAACCTCTTATCCTGCCTTGACTCTAATTCGTTTCTGAAATATGTTTTAGTCTTGTTTTGTTCTTGTTGCTATTTTGTAACTTAAAATCGTATTATTACACCTTTAAAGTTTTTTCATGACTATTGTTCAATAATATGACATTCATATTTAATATCACCAAAGAAGAAAGATGTTATTCATATCTATAAGGGAAATATTCACAAAATCGAAATTATCATATTTTTACTATTGAAAAACTGTAATCCAAGAGCTTTAAATGAAAGAGTTATGTCCTGACGAAGAATAAGTGAACGGTAACTGCTAGGATATATATATATATATATATATATATATATATATATATATATATATATATATATATATATATATATATATATACTCTTATTGTATAACTATTAGGTAACTATGTTATATGTATATTCACATTCCTCTTATCATAAGCTTCCAACTTAACCTATTGACTACTACTATGCGATTTATCATCCTTAAGTTATTGGCAATTTATTAGTTACAGTCGCTCACAGTCAGAGCCACTTTTTGGGTTGATCTTGTATAATTTTTATTTTCTACTTTATAGTATGATGTGGTCTGATTTACTTGTATATAAACTGCGTATGTTTGAAATTCATGATTCATATAGCGAAGAATGATATTGGTGTTCTATAATGAGCCGTCTGGGTTAGACAAGAAGTTACTATCTCGTAGAATCAATTAGAATTCAGGGTTGACTCTAGACTGCTCGTGCTGGATTATGCGTCGCTGGTCTGACCAATAAGTCCATATTCTAATTTTCAATAATATCATGTAATATATTAACAGGGC